ACCATATTTTAAAAGGATAACAACTTAGGTTCACGACGATCCTCTTTACAGGCTGTATTTTTGCAATGATCTTTTTCAGCTCCTTATACGAACACGGTTACAGCTGGTTCGACTGGAAAAAACAGAAACATGTCTTATAATATTATATTTTTTTGATATTTCATACGTATAATGGTGTTTATAATAACACTGTCCTCCTTGTAAGATATTTAGAAGTATCACAGCACATAAAGAAACAACCGTTTTATGGACACTTGTTAACGTTACCTATATGTGTAATGAAACGTGTTTAAATAATAAATAGAAGTCTATATCTATGAAAACTTTTGTTTCTTAATAACACTGTCCATTTAAATATCTCTGCAGAATATAGACACAATTCAAAATTGTTGGTGGAAATTTTTCTTCTTCTCTTACTTTGGTGGGTAAAAGAGTCTAAAAGGTTGGGAAAGAGGAAACTAGGGTGAATTGAAAATACAATCTGAAAAGGTCACAAAGAAAAGTTATTGTTTTTATATATATAATTCAGTTCGTATTACTGCATTTTTGATTTAAAAGCAAAACAAAAAAATAGACGTAGCTGAAGCAATATTCATTAATCTACTTCATATGACTGTATTTATCATCACAACAGCTTCAGTTCATTTCACCACATTTCATTAATTTCTATAAAAGATTGGAAATGTGATCTAGCAGATCTTATATTGTCATTTAAGTAACTTAACCTTTTACAATTCTGGTGATCTGGCTCGAGGCAGTATTCTCTTTCACTGTACAATCATTTCATTTCCACCTTATTACAATTTCCAGCACTTCATCTGTACGTTTCCGTATGTTTTCAAATAAAATTAGGAATTTGTTTGTTCGCAGGGAAATTGGTAATCCATGACTTTGAATTTATAATGTGGCATACGATGGCGGTTGTCGATAGGCGAACCACGGTATCATCAGTGGCGGCGTCAGCCTCAAGAGACTGGGAGTACAAATAAGGGGCAGAATGACTCAGTGGGGGACAACTGTTATAGTCTCAAGCGTCTAAGAGGGTTTTCCCCAAGAAAATTGTGGAAAAATTGACACATATTTTGGGACAAAACGTAAAAAAAATCATATTTTTCAATTTGTTAAAAATAAAGTGGGGGCACAATTGGGGATGCAAACCCTTTTTCTTAGGGGCAAATGCCCCCCGTACCTCAACTAGCGCCACCACAAGGTATAATGATAGCCTTTCAAAACCTTATACGATTCTATAGCTGGTTCTATAGTTTGAGGACCACGTGTTGCACTTACAGAGCGTTATAATAGTTACATGATGGCATCTTCGTTACGACAAAAATTGTGGTTGTGGTTGTGGTTTCTAATCGTGGTCGATGTGTGCCCCAACCGTATCCAATTCAGAGTGCTAACGGGTCTCTGGGTCATCATAGCAACTGTTACAGTATAAGAGGTTTCTAAGTCTTGCTTCCTGTTTTTTATGTCAGGTGAGATCAGGAAGTGTGAAGTGGACATGAAGGAGCACATCAACGAGAGAGAGGGTTTTTTCTATATTTATTACGTCTCTTATATTATTTGTATTTTATTACAATATTTGTACAGTAATCCGAATAATATACAAACTAGCAATATTAAATTAGCAATCAGACTTCGTCTATCTAGAAGTAGACTGTTTAATGTCTGTTATATGAGGAGCCTTCACAAAGCTTTAAGTAGACATCTATGATTGAAGGACACACCACTTAAGTTGTTTTATTACAATATTTGTAGTTGTCTTGACAATATACAAACTAAAAATATTAACTGAGAAACTGAAACATTTGACAGTTTGTGTTCTACCGAAGTTTGACAAGAAGAGATTTGCAGACAACTGATTTATTTCAGTCTGTGTCGCTACTGAAGTTTGAGACATAGAGATTGTCAGACAACTGATCTATTTCAGTCTATATCCCTACTGGGGTTTCAGGTTTAAATCTTTAAGAAAGGAATGTATTAATATTTGCTTTATCTGCTGATAAATCTCAATCTTAGACATCGTATTTGTATTCAGCAGATAGCAGATTTGTATCTCTATAAGCTAGTCAAACCCATAAATCTTTAAAGATACGTCTCTACTAAAATTAATTGATAATCATAACTATGGCAGTCCCTGAAGGTTTGGAACAATAAAATGAAATCATTGTCTAAAAAGTATTTACCCCAGCGGGCTAGGTTTTACACAATATAATACTTACAATGATATTAATTATTTACATAAACACCGTCAAGACAGATCGTCAGATAAAACCGACTCTTACAGTTATAAATCTTTTTAGTCGAGGAAAGATTATGGTGCTCATCGGGTCTTGTTCAAAATTTAAACTCCAGCAGTCAACTATACTTTTAGGAAAAATAGTAATAGAGACGATACTAGAATAAACTGACTTTGTAGAAGGTAAATAGTAATAGAGACGATACTAGAATAAACTGACTTTGTAGAAGGTAAATAGTAATAGAGACGATACTAGAATAAACTGACTTTGAATAGGGCAAATGGTAATAGAGACGATACTAGAATAAACTGACTTTGTAGTAGGTAAATAGTAATAGAGACGATACTAGAATAAACTGACTTTGTAGAAGGTAAATAGTAATAGAGACGATACTAGAATAAACTGACTTTGTAGAAGGTAAATGGTAATAGAGACGATACTAGAATAAACTGACTTGGTAGTAGGTAAATAGTAATAGAGACGATACTAGAATAAACTGACTTTGTAGAAGGTAAATAGTAATAGAGACGATACTAGAATAAACTGACTTGGTAGTAGGTAAATAGTAATAGAGACGATACTAGAATAAACTGACTTGGTAGTAGGTAAATAGTAATAGAGACGATACTAGAATAAACTGACTTTGTAGTAGGTAAATAGTAATAGAGACGATACTAGAATAAACTGACTTTGTAGAAGGTAAATAATAATAGAGACGATACTAGAATAAACTGACTTTGTAGTAGGTAAATAGTAATAGAGACGATACTAGAATAAACTGACTTTGAATAGGGCAAATGGTAATAGAGACGATACTAGAATAAACTGACTTGGTAGTAGGTAAATAGTAATAGAGACGATACTAGAATAAACTGACTTGGTAGAAGGTAAATAGTAATAGAGACGATACTAGAATAAACTGACTTGGTAGTAGGTAAATAGTAATAGAGACGATACTAGAATAAACTGACTTGGTAGAAGGTAAATAATAATAGAGACGATACTAGAATAAACTGACTTTGAATAGGGCAAATGGTAATAGAGACGATACTAGAATAAACTGACTTTGTAGAAATGATATTACATCTTATGTGGCACAATAACTAATTTATAAAATGTACTATAGTTTATTATAATCTTAATGCAGTGGCGTGTCTATATAACAATTTCTTCTGAATATCTCTGATGTCTTTTCATATCTATAACACAATTTATATGTTACTTCCACATGGCGTTTCTCTTGCCGTTCAGTAAATATGTACTTAAATTCTTCTAGCCAGTATGGATACAATTCGATTCACGAGGTCGATTTAGAAGACTGAATGAAATGGTTCGGAGATCAACAAATTAGTGAAAGTAATTGCTCTAGATCAGTATCCAAACGTCCTTAGGCGAATTAGAAACTTTAAGTTTTTTAGTCGATTACACTAATTGGTTCTCGGGTTTCGAAATGTCCAGAAAGGCGGAATGAAAATGTTTTTAAGTTAAAAAAAAATGTGGCTCTATGTAAATTTTAGCTTTGACTTTGCCATGATGAGTTAGGTCAATTAAACATAGATTAAGTTTCTCAAACCTCGAACAATATTAATGTCCAACAACACGTGAAAATTTTATCAAGGTTTTAACCCAGGTGCACTCAGTTTCAAGATAAGCGGTTCAATCCCGGCATAGGTCGAGATAATACCTTCGGATTTTTCAACCCGGTTTCCCCTGTCAGTGATGCAGGTACGAGGGGCTGACATGGAAAAAGCGTCTAGTCGTTCGGATGGGACAATAAACCGAGGTCTCGTGTGCTACAGGCTGTGCACGATAAAGATCCCTCGACAGTTGGAAATCGAAAAGAGCAGGCTAATGCCGCTGTCCTGGCAAAATTTACCTCATTGCACCCTGCATGGCGTTGTCCGTCTTCATTAGCCCACATGGTGCAGAAAAGTAGGACGTAAAAACTCCATTCATTTTATTTCAAGATAAGCGAGGAGCGTTAAACCAATATACAAAGTTTGTAGCCTAGTTCACGAAAGGGGTTTTCATAACGCTCGGACTTTACGCAAATATCACGAGTTTTATGTGTCCGGGCGAAATTGGAAAAGCTGTGGCTTTTTTCATGAACCAACACAACAGCAAGGAACGTTACACTACGATACACGATGTGTGCAATCTAGTTTTTCACAAAAACTTTGTTCTTAGAGAAGACGAGAAGCTGTGTGCTGGCTGATAAGTTTTCAGGCGAGGCGAAAAACAATATTCTTTGGCTAATAAAAAACCCAGTCCTCTGAGCAACGCAATGTTAAATCTTCACGCACATGTTTGTCAGTTCAATTGTTCACAGAAGACTTCCTATGTACACATATTACATTTTCTTGTTTGCGAGTAAATCAGAAAAATTCTAGTGTATTATGCTTTTCTTTGGCAACACCCCAGCGTCTTAGAAACACATCATTAATCTTTAAATGAACACATTTACACATTCACTGTTTAGTTTTTTAAATAACCTAGTCTCATATATACCTAGGTTATGAACACATTTGTAAAATTCGAATCTTCGACCTAATCGGATTAATCGAATGAATTATTTTGTTCTTGAAAAAAAAAGGAACCAACACGCCAGCCTGTCAACAACGCAGCACAACTATGTACACATTTTACATACACATTCCCATCGATTACTATCGATGTCTCTATCAAAATACTCAAGGCAAATATTGTAGTATAGTTTTTCTTCTTCGTTGTTGGAATTCATTAAAAGCTCATGGCAGCCTTCATGATATGACTGATGTATTTGAACAGATCTGACCACGCCTGTTCCATTTCCGGAGTCCACTTTTCGTCCACCACTGGCTGAATCGCCCAAATAAACTGAGGTCCAATTAACTGGAAAATAAAAAATGAAACTTGGAATGATGATGAATGATAAGGACAAAAATTTGTCTTAAACCTAAGTGTTGTTTCTATCGTACTAATACTCTTTTGTTTATTCAATCCGTCACTGATTCAGGTAAGAGGGGCTGACATGGAAAAAGTGTCTAGTCGTTCGGATGGGACAATAAACCGAGGCTACGTGTTCTACAGGATGTGCACGTTAAAGATCCCTCGACAGTTGGAAATCGAAAAAGAGCAGGCTAAAGCCGCTATCCTGGCAAAAGTTCCCTCATTGCACCTTGCATGGCATTGCCTGTCTTCATTAGCCCATATGGTGCAGAAAAGTAAAACGTAAAACTCCATTCATTTCAGTTAATTTTCTCTTTTGTTTATGAATATATACACAAAACAAGTCTGCTAGAAGGTCAATAGAGTTAATCAACTGTCAGGAAAGTTCCTGAGACGGTTCCGACAGGAAGAATATTTCCTTATTCCTGCTATTCCGTTTTACAAGTACCGTGAAAAATCATGTGTGGAGGATAGTCATTTAGTAGTCATGTAGCGAATGGTTCCATAGGACATTGACTAAAATCGTGTTTCGTGTGTAGATTGCTTTTCTTTGGTTGACTCCTTTAGCCATTGCCGTGTTTACAAATATATTAAATATTTATGAATTTCATGTAGTTCCGGGGGAAACCATGCTGGGAAGAAATGTGGTTTAGGTATTCATTAAGCGAATGTTTACTCTGAATTCAAAATTCAGATCTAGATACCTCATTTCGTTTTCGTTTCCCTATGGTTTCCTATACCCATCGCTGTGATTATATGTTCACATAGTCCTGGGGAAATCATGAGTGTAAGATATATGTATTTGGTATTCATGTAGCGATCAGGATTCTGATCAAAATGCAGGTAAGGATGCTTCGTCTCGTATTTATTTTTCCTGTGGTGGACTAATTCAGCAGCCATTGCGGATGTACAAGTGACCACACTTCCGGGAGATATCTCAGGATGGGTACAAGGGAGGATATACCAGCTTAGTATGCAGGTGTTGGACGACAACCCGAAGTCGAAACTGGGAAGCAATGTTGACGTGATCTGTCGAAAATTACCGGATGGCATTAGCCATATGTAACCACGGGTGTAAAAGGGAGAAAATCGGCAGAGGTGATTGGGAGTGTTTGGTTTCTCTAATCCCCGCTTTTTTGACAGCTTCCCATAACCTTCTACTCTCTGTCTTGAACAATTTTTTATCAATTTGGGAAATAGTCTCTCTGAATAACTTATAACTCTTATCAAGTTCCCATCTTCAATCTATACGTCACTAAGATTATGTTGACAGAGCCAAGTTATTTTAATCTACTTACATCTATGTAGTCGACTTTTGCGTTGTACATCACGTGACGAGCACCAAGATCGCTTAACATCTGTTCCAGTCGTTTTGGATCTTCTATATTAGCTAGACTTTTCTCCACCGTCCCCATTACTCTGGTAGCGTGAGACTTTAACTGTTTACTGTCTTTTAGATCATCTGCTGATTTACCTGAAAAAAAGAAGGTAAAATTAGTTTTGTTCTTAGGACTTCCAAACATTGATAAATACAAAATCACATGAAAAAGATATTGGTTTACTATGTAGATGGAACAGACAAAATTAAAAGTGTCCCCTTTTGTGATAAAAGCAAATTTAATCCTCGCTTTAACATGGTTTTCATAAACAGCTTTCTTGATTTTCTTTTATTGTTTCTTTTTATCAAACGAGTAAAAGCGAAACAGAGGGGTTCTATCTATTTTGTTTACAAATGATTTGCAGAGGAACTGAAGAGGCATATCACCAGAAGTTAACGGAAGGATGTTGGTATCCTTGAAGCGATGAACCTTGCTTGAAGCTCGTGTCGGACGTTTATCAGATCTAAATAGACAGTATGCCACTGTGCGGACGTAATATGATAAAGGGATGCATTTGTCTAAACATCTTTATCAAGCAGTCAACAGAATTTATATTAGATTTGGTAACTTCTGAGATGAATTGTCAGTCTACGTATATTGAAATAACAAATAAGGGAATAATAATCAAAATTAAATGATCTGTACGACAGACAAGGCTATAACATGCAGAAGTGACGACAGGTCGATTTGCACTCGGCAATCCTTGATAGTTTCTGTAAAGCTAAATCTTGGAGAGCTCTGGCGTAACTTCCACGGTAGGCCGTTTGTTTGATCAGTTCTTCATAAAATTGGCAAAAAAGTGACAGTGTATCACAAAATATCATTTTGTTTTTCTGCTAAAAATAGAGACTCGTATGCCTTTAATTGCTTAAAGCAAACCGCAGGAAATTAGTTTTGTTTTTTTAGATTCATTAGATTAGCTAGACAAAATCACGGTTTGTCAGGAAGGATGGTTAGTCACCCGAGGGCGTCAATCCGCTAAACATCGCTTGAAGTTAGCATCAAGAATGAAATTATCTTATCTTATTGTTTTTACAACCTAAAGCTGAAGGATCGAAGTGATACATTCATCTAATTATTACTCAGTTTAACTAAGAATTTTTTTTTTGGAAATGACAATATAAGACGTTTGAATTGTTTAAAAGGACCTTTATCATAAGTATTATCATAAGTAGGCTTTATAATTGATATATATACATCAAACAAAAGATATAGGGTGCTATGATATCATCAATTTAATGGTGAAATCGCCTAAAAAGAAGGCGCATTTGAATTGACTGTATAGCTAATTGCTCATACACTTGCTGTATGAAGGTGACTAATTTTGATAGCATTTTACTATCGACGAAATCGAATGAAGCTTCCGCAGAAAGAACGTAATGAAATCAAGTGACAACCAGCCGAGCAGCTCTAAAGTTCTGAATAAGCTGTAATTTCTGAATTTTAGAATTTTCCAAAGGAAACTGTTACAGTTATCTAATCTGGATATTACAAAACCATGAACTATTTTCCCTACTTCAGAATGGTGGCATATTTAAAGATTTCTTATAATCAGATAAGATGTGGGTAGTTTGTAGGTGGACATTTGAAAACTTCAATTTGACGTGTCTGAACCTGTCTGTACTATTATAGTTGTATAATAAACTATAATTACCTTTAAAGGGAACAAAAACGTCTTGAACATCTGGCTGGGTTTGAAACAACCTGAAAATATAAAGAAAAATTTTGTAGACTGGGCAAATTATCATTATAGTGGTCATTGGTGAACGTACGGGCTATCACCAATAAAATCTTCATAATCTTGGAAGTAGCCTGCCAGTAAATACCAAAGGGCTACAAGCAAGGCTTCATCTTGAATGATAGCATTTCATGAACCTCCAGTTTCGAAATTCGTCAATTATAACTATCAGAGACCAGAAGAAAAGCCAGGTTGCGACTAGTTTTGTCAACAAACCCGGCATCCACATACGTAATAATTGGGTGCCAATATGTCAGAATTAACTGTTTAATACTACGACACAAGTCCAAGACAAGTCGACCTCAGTCATTCAAGGTCAGATGTAGTGTCGGGGTGACCTCGTTTAGAAGCTGAAAGCTACTAGAAGTGTTATCAAGTTTTGCACTATTACAAAGATAAACGAACTTCAATACTTTTTAACATGAATCGATCATAATATAGTGTCCTACTGTTGAGATTGACAGCTCAAAGTAGTATTTGATGGTCCGTATCCTTGCCTATAGCCATAGTATGACAAGTTTTGCGATAATATATACTTTTTCTAATACACATTCGCTTCAAGGATCTCACTTATAGCAGATCGGTGAACGAATGCATGTAACCTTTTTTGCCAATATCGTTCTGAAATGAATTTCAGAAAACGCTTAGTTCGGATCGAATGAAATTGTTTGTAGCTGACAGATCAGTATTCTTTGACAGGGAGATGAAAATCAAGCCAATCCCTGTCAGTAGTGTTCCCTTGTAAAATTCGCCGTATTACACACTTCTTGGCATTGCCTGTACCCATTACCTCAATCAGCAAATTAAAGAAAATGTTTCAGATACTGCTCATAAACTCAATTTGTGTTTAGTTCATTCATCAAGATTAGCAATCGTCACTAAAGTACAAATCTGAATAAAAGAAACCGTTAAATGTAAGGAGAAATAGTAAAAAACCTAATAGCTCTATTTTATGAATTTCTGTAAATGACATGAAATCCCTTGGGGTTATTAGTTAATTTATTATTTTAGTCCAAGACAATTTGTCCATTGATTTACTTCCTATAAAAAATAAGACAAAGGAGAGTAAAAATAAATGTGATCGATCGTTCAGTTCAAGAGGTTATTTAGCTTTATTCAGGAACAGTTTACTCTAAATAGAATTTCAACTGTTATTCACGTTAGGTTTTTAAAGAGGTTCTTTCAGACTAAAATTGATAAAACAAATCGATCTGCTGTTCTAAACTCTGTTAAATTTAGATGGACGTGTTTGGTTGGTGAATGGCGAGTTACTTCCGCTTCTAGTTAACTGATATCACAGACTAGGTAGTTGTTGGTAGATGACAAGTTACCGCCACACGGACGTCGTCATATTCTTAGGTATATAGCAAAATGTTTTCTCCGTTTATACGGGGTGTTACCATTTCAAATATACAGATAATAACATTGTAAAAAGTAATTGATAATACTTTTGTGATGCCAAACTCCAGTGCACACTTTCAAGATAACGGATGAACAATTTCATACAAGTGAAAAAAAAATGATAATCCAAGGTTTGGGTCTTAATCTTAATCATCGATAGTGTAAAGCTCTGATAAATATCGTGTTAAGTTTTTTCTATACATCAGTTGTTGGCCTTAGGGAAATCAGGATATCTTGACTATTTTGAATACAGCACAATCAAGATTTATTTATGATAAATAACAAAGAAAAAAGCTACATCTTTCTATCCTAAAACCCCACAGCAATCCATAATCTCTTGAATCTCTAGAACTTTGACTCTGTCCACATTTCGACAGAAAAGTTCGATCTTTAGTCGCCTGAGAGACGCTCAGAGAAACATGTACCTCCCATTTTAATATAGCAATACCCACCAAAATGCATGTAAACTTCACCTTTTGTTTCGATAGCAACGAGCAGAAAATGCCAGCAAGTTTAATAAAGTTTAATTCTGTTTCTGTCATATCGAGCAGGATAATTTGAATATAAAGTGGCAATTATGATATCGGCAGCAAATAAAAATAGTATAACTTTCATTTTATTTGTGTATTGCGTAATGGTTTGGCTGTGAGTTCATTGGCCATTCTTAATCATTCAAGTTGGGAAAGATCTGTGAAAGCCATGGAAACTTTGACTATTTACTTGGGTTGCTGTTGTTCCAGAATAATTTCTTTATTACATATCAAATAAATAAAAACACTATTATGTATATTCTACTCCTTTCATTAATTTCTGCAAGGTTTCATTTCACATACAGGAATCTTTATCAAGCATACAATATTACATATTGCTTAAGTAGAACACTAAGCAGGCTGGGGGTACAAATAGGGGACAGACAGACCTAATGGAGGGTGGGGGACACAACCTTCGTGATTCAAAATGCAGCAGCTCTATGGCAGCGCATATGCGCAGGCCCCAAACATGAGCTTCTGAAAGGGTTATCCACAAGAAAATATTAAAAATATTGAATTGATTTGGAGCATTTTGATCTATTTTTTAAATTTGTTAAAAATGAGGTGGGCTGGGGGAACAAACCACAAACCATTGTACCGTCATTGGCGCCAACGTTGACACTAAATGGTTGAACGCCTTATCACTTCTCTCACTTGAATTCAAGTTTCACCTTTTAGGACCGATAACAGTTCTTGTGCAATCGAACTAATTCTGTAATTACACATAAAACGAGATTTCTAATTATCAGACAACTGTAAAATCTCCCGGAATTAGGCCAAGTGTGATAAAATGGACGAGTTGAAGTAATGTCTAATTAACAAAATCTAATCAGTCCAATTTCACTAGTGACGGGGTTATTCACCGTATAACCCAATTACTGATATAGTTGTCCAACTTTTACCAATATTTTTTCAATAATTCTCGACTGTTTCTGTAAGTGAAGCTGAATTAATTTCATATGTTGAAGAGCACCAGCATTACTTTTCACGGAAGACAGTTTGAAAACTTCTTTGTCTTGGAAAATTGAAGGGTTAAATTTACGAAAAGGTCAAGAGAAATTAAAATAAATAGTAAAGATTTCACACAATCAATTATGAATTTGGTTTTAACACAAATTGGCTTGTTGTCTAATCAAGGGTAGTTCGCTGAATTTGACACGTGCTCGCTAACCTCTTTGTACAGGGTTGGGTCCCAGTAGCCCTGTGAGCCGACGAAAATCTGCGGCTAAGACACAGGCCGTCGCCGGTCTGCTTATTAAGCCAGCTGGCCGCCGCCGATTTACTTCCAACGGCGCTCGTTACTTCTAATTTAACCAGACTTCCCACTTGTCTTGTAGTTGTGTTTTACGTTATTTGGAACAAAATGTTGAAATTCAGCATTTGTCTTTTTAGTTAATGAATTCATTTTGCATTAGAAGACTACGATTCCTCTTCATGAAACCGGCCAGTCTTAGTCAGAGAGAATCATTCAACATCTGATATTAGTGGCACTTAGTGCGAAAGGTATGTTGTGCTCAAAGCTGTGGCTCGCCAGTTGGTGTTATGCCAAGCCAGCCACAGCCACAAAAGGTGCTGGCTTTGCTGCCGTCAGCTGATACAACCCCTCAGTCAGTCAAAAATTGGTTAACTGTTGGCTCACGGGTCTAGTCACACCTGAGATAGTGCCTAGGGTTTCCCATAGTCAGTGCAGGTCAGACGAGTTGACTAGTAAACGTATCTTTGACAGCCACGTGAAGACACGCGAAATATATCCATTGATCAACTAAATTAGGCAAAGAGTAGAACTTCATTTTATTGCTCTTAGAACCAGTCCAACATAAAGTGATGCATCAACTTATGGGAATTTAATCGACCACCTTCCGACCTATTTCCTTCATGGCACACAATATCATAATATAACATAGTTCATCTTCATTACCCTACTTCAGTCAATTTAGACTGGATGCCCCAGTTCGTTTCACACTATTTAGTATCAAATCCGATATTTTTATATACTAGATCTTGTGGGAATCAAAGATATTGATGGATGAACCGGAAACTCGATAGGAAGTCACAAGATATCTAAATGAAATATAACAAATCCAATAAAAATAGTCGCGACTGTTACTGAGACCTCGGTCTGGCGCTAATTCTTCCCTTCACGCGATCTTACAATTTATTTATGTACAGAGTTTAAAAGCTAATTCTTTAGATAGTCAGATTGAGATTACTGTAAAGAGAAAGTTTGGACTCTTCTCATCATCACAATATCAAGCTATTACGAACTTTTGCCTAATACCTTGACTTCATTGAGTTCTTTTCTTGTATCACAAATTTTTGTTAATGATTTGATTGAATTGTACGCTAGCGAATACAACCAATGAGAGCCCTCGACAAAAAGTCTGTAAACCATAAGCCATCTTGCATTTTAGTTAAGCTTGGAGTTTGAAAAGCTAGTCATTCGGTTGGTAAAGATTTGATGATTCAAGAGACTATTAAGTGAAGAGATTAAAACGAGGTCCACCAGACCCCGAAAAAATTCTGGCAATCACATTACTGCATCTAAACACTGTACACCATTGCCCCTGCAGATATATTACTTTCCCCCAAAAAATCAAATCTGGCTACGGGCATAAGGTAGATTAAGCAGTAATGAACGCAATAAAAGTATAGCTTCTATTACTATTTGTCTACCCAAAAATATAGTGAATTGATAGCGTATGCTTTGTCAGGCCAAGTTGTACACAGCTCGACAGTGGACACAGTGGATGTTGAACTCTGTTGAATCAATATTTAACCTTTATTACCGATGGTAGTCTACAAATGACCGGGCTTGGAACGTAAACGATGCCACTTATATATTACACCTAGGGCTATTTATACACTGATAATTTCAATATCAAATCATGAGCTGACACGAGGTCGTCTTTAATTACAGCCATGGTTATCAATTTTATTAATATTCTATGATAAATACTGTCATTATATTGACACGAAGAGCGACGGAAATATCATATCTTATAAAATAAAAATTGAAACTAATTAAATGCAAAGGC